TTTTATAAGAGTTTAATTTATAAATGACAATAAATCTAACTCTAGACGTTGGCGCCATCAGAATTGCAAGGCTTCTTCCATTACCGAGATGTAAAATTAAATTAAATTAAATTTTTATATATTTACACTCACCGAATTGTTTTGAAATTGTACCTTAATTTGCACTATCTGCCGTTTTCACTTCAATTAATAAAATTGTCAAAGCAGATAGTCTCTCTGGGCTCATCGTACTTCTCAAGTAGGTCTTAATCAATTTAAACTTGGAGACGCTTCCTCACGTAGAAGCTGTACTGATTGAAACTGTGAGTATAATTCTGGTTACAATATAAGCATTCTGATATACTTCCTCTAAATTATTTTATTTAATATACCGGATCCAGCAGTTTTCCATACAGTGCAAAAGACTGAATGTTACCTTTTGACCTTCCAGAGGTATTATATGTAAAGCATTACAATGCTTGAGAAGGTGTTCGTTTAGATTGTATGGGTCGAGACATATGTTCATAACTGAACAATTGTTCAAAAGATATTTTACATTATTAAAAAATTGTGTTATTCACGCAAGAAGAGACAAACAAATTTGTTTTTTTCTGGTAATTGTAGTTAAAGTTTAGTGAACTATGTACAGCTATTTTCGAGACCCCTGTGGGTGCAAGGCAGCCACCGATGTCTAGCATCCCCACTGATTATTCTGTTGAAAAACGAACAACTAAACTATATATATTCAAAGTGTTAGAATTGTCGAAATCTGTGCATAATTTTTAGTATTTACATATCAATGCAGATTATTTTACAGCTGATATGATATATAATATATTTTTACGGATGTATAGTTAATCTGATAGTTAATCTGATAACTCATTTAATAAGTGATTTATTAATTATAATAATTTCATTTGTTAGTAAATAACAAAAGTTTTCTTAAAAGTATATCAATTTCAGTAAATACATACTGCTCAGCGCATCAACTCTTCACGGTGTATCTCAAGAACGGTCGAATGTATATAAAATGTACATAATGTATATAAAGTATATAGAATGTATATAAAGAATTTTATGTTCTATAACTTTTCAAAAAACTACTACAAAAATAAGATAAATAAATTGGAGAATCGTTACTATACATACTTATATTTATTTCTTTTTAAAATATTTTTATTACTTTTATTATTATTATTACTTAATCCGATTATGTAGTTTTAATTATTGCAATGATACGCTAGAGGCACATCCCAGTTGTAAACGGATATATCCGCCATGGAAGACATCTAAAAAACATGGAGACATATATAACGATCGATTTATCTATATCTATTGCAGTCATAGAAGACATTTTCGAACAAATGATCAAAAAGTCATTAATGGCCGATTGCGCTTTTTTCCCCCTTAATTATAAATGGTTAAATATTGTTCTTTATTATATTAAAAACTTAAATTAAATAACCACAAAATTTCACTAGTCTTTAATATCGAAACTAATTAGTCTCACCCTTTCGTTTCATTTATTTGCCTTCATTTAGGTAAAATCTCATTTATCGCCGACGGTATCCGCGAACCGTCCGCGTGAAGAGTTGAGACGTATAGGCATGTGTATTATAACGCACAATACCACACACACAACGATTTATGAAGATAAGTATTGTATAAATCTAATTAATCTCATCCTTTCATATCCTTTATTTGTCTTCATTTAGGTAAAATCTCATTAATTTACAATGCATTGACGACACTGTCCGCGAACGTGTCCGCGTATGTTAACATTAGGTCAATAATATAGTACATACAATGATTTATGAAGATAAGTACCTATACTTATTGTATAAAACTAATTAGTCTCGCACTTTAGTTTCCTTTATTGTCCTTCACACAGGTAAAATCTTATGCATTTGCAATGTATTGCGGACAATGTCATCGAAGACAATTTGAGTAACTGGGATATAATATTTATTCTTCACTTCTGGTGCACATATGTTGATGTGTACTTAGCATGGTATTTCGAATTTCAGGTTTAGTATTATTTATTGTTTGAGACATAAAAGAGATTAATTTATGATACAGACAAGAATGAAGTGTGTAAACATTTTGTACAGTAAATCATATCTTACTGTGTTTAAAGCCAAATACTGGTTATAAGAATCAACAATATTCTTCGAAGTTGATTTTATTATATTATATCTATTAAATTGTTTGTTTTTTAACAATAGCACATAACAAGATATGAACTATATGAATATATGAAATGGAATACAAAAGCAGTGTCATGCTTTTGATCAAGAAGCTATCTCCAGCAATAACAATGTGAGGTTAAACCCATTTTTTAATTCACATTTAATGAATTCTCATTGTATAATGCGATATAAATTTGAATATAACAGGTCTTTTGATCAAGACTTGGAATCCAGCAATAACGATATGGGACTGGACCTGACTAGAAAATGTTACTAGAAATGTATACAAACTTGAGGTCAATACTTTCTATACTGACATGCGATCTTATGTATATAAATGATATACCAACTAAATATGTTAATATACCATATAATATTTTAAGAGATTATTGCTTTTAGATATAGGGGATTGCACAATAGTTAAGAATGTACATAAAGTATCTGATCATATATAGACTGTAAGCTCCAGTATCCAAATTTTGTTTTTAAAATCACTTGAAACAAGATAATCGACCCTTCTGATTGAACTCCGTTCTTTTACTCCCTTTAATTGTTGTATAATGGTATATGCTCGCTCAAGGAGTTTTCACTATATAAGAAACATAGAACGTGTACTGCAGTTTATATGCTAATTGTAGCCATATCCTATATTTTCTTGGTTTACATTATTTATTAATAAAGTTATTATAATTTATAAAATTAAAAACTAACTTGCACAGATATACCGCTGACTACTGAGGCCTTCAATTATACCACAAAAGATTCTTTTTTTATTATGTTTAAAATGTGATTCACATATGTTTAAAAAAATACTAGTAATCGTTTCCATCAACTGCCTTAAGTAATCCAAATTGAACAAATATTTTTAATAATTAAATCGATACGCTCTGCTTGAATAACACAAATGTATTTCAATAAAATTCACATAAAATATTTCAAATATGAGTACCGTATCTTGTGGTTTTTGGTATTTTATGTTAACATGTGTGCGATATGCGTTACAGTCCATTTATTTAATATATAGACACTTTTAGTATAAACTACTTTCAAGATGAAAATTGTTGAGCTTATCATTATAAAGAAATCCGTACTATTATTTTGATACACATATGTGAATATTTGTCTGTGATTAGCAATTAGAACTTCACTTAATAATATATCACAAAAAAAATTTAAAAAATTGATATATTAAATCATTTATATATATTATTTGTATTAATTACATATTCAACTAATAAAAACAAAGATTTTATTAACTACTTGCTTCCTTATACTATGTTCACACACATCTTAATCTTAATCTCCCCAACGTTTCAGTAAAATTAAGTTGTTTTTTCATACAAAATTCTGTTTTGAGGTTAGTCGAAATTAAGGAAAATAGCTTTCAGATAATTCACGTATCTGAAATCCACTAAAGCTAATAAAACTGCTGAATACCATCCTTTATAATTATAATAATGAACTTTAAAAATTTCTCAGATACAAATGGTGTTTGAAGCATGTAATTTTTATAATTCATGTTTTTTGTTTACAAACATATCATTTATTTAATTTGGGGCAGTATGAACACTTTCGAAATTAACTTAATTTCATTTTTACGAAATTAACGAAATTTGGCTGTCTGAACATAGTATTAGTGTCTTTCTACAGTTCAGCTGTTATTTCTTTAAAGTTTACATATACAACATATCACATATATTTCAAATTTCGATCAATTCCTTTTTGGGAAACTTTTTTTAAGGTTTGCATTCGACATTTTTCGCCTTAAACAAGCTGATAAAAAGCTCATTTACATGAAATATATACTTTTTATGGTAAATAATCCCCATTAGTGGATATAATGAGCAAAACCGCCTAAATGAGACAGTGTGAATATGCTATTAGATATTATATGTATGTATGGTACTTCTATAAATTGTAATTCATAAACAATCGTGGAGTAACATTAGCATGACTTTCTACGTATTACATTGCTATATTAGGTTCTATACATAAAAAAGAATATATAAATCATGCAACAAATAATGCCTCTACAAACAGAATAGTATTGAAATTTGCCAATTAGAAATAAAAATATAATTAATTAATTCAATTATTCTATAGCTGATTTATGATTTTGTTCTAATATAAACACAGCAAGTGAATTTGTTAATAAAACTTTTAGAACAAGTTAACAAAATTTCAGAAAAATGTACCAACATAAAAAAGTCAAGTACGGCTTTGGGTCCGTTGGTTAAGGTGCGCTGACTCTGAGCTTCAAATTTGACTGGGCAGTCAATTTCTAAAATTTTTTTTACAAATAATTAAATGTGAGAATTATTTCCAAGACCACTATAATGATGAGCAATACTCGATGGCAGTACTCGAAACTGCTGCATGCTCAGCCAAATATTCAATTAATTGAAATATAAAAAATAATTTTTGTTGTTCACTACTTTTCGAAAAACTACTTTTTCTTTATGGAATATTCATTTATTAAAATATATAAATTAATTTAAAATCATAATAAAAATTTTCGAATATATATTTTTATATTTTTTTGTACCTAATATTTTTGTTTAGGTTTAATACATTATGAAAATGTTATAAAATATATGCGTTGAAAAGTTTGTGTACTAATTGAAATCTTTTGTTTTACTAGCAGTCTGGCAACACTCTTTTTTAATATTATTCTTACTTTTGTCTCTCTCACAATTCGTTTTCAATTATTCTTCGTTTGACAGTCGTAGAACTCTTGTGGAAAAACAATAACAAGAATTAATTGAAATGTTATAAATCCAAATATGTGGTTAAATAAATTTTACTTAAATATTCTAATAATAAATGCTAAAAATGTAAAATAAATACCAGAAAATAATGTTATTGGAAATTTACGTAAGTTAAAAATAAATGTGCGTGCGGGGTGTATATTTTATATGGTTCGGTTAGCTTTAAGTAAAGCAGATTTTGCAAAAAAAAAAAATCAATGCAGTCCAATTGAATTATGGCTTGGCTGTACATATTTTCTATTAAATGATTTTATTGCAATGTTTTTTTAAATAAAAACGTAAGAATATAATGTGAAAGCTGAAGAGCAGTGCCGGCGTCGGTAAGCAAATATTAAAATGTGTTCTATATGTGGTGCGGGCTATGCAATCTGTTTCTGGTGTGAGCATTCGAAAGGATGAAAATTGGTGGTGGCATTTATTTTAAAAAAATTATTATTAATTCATTACACAAAATAATAATATTTCTAAGTTTTTATGTACACATTGTTGTGTTTTTGTTATTTATGTATTTAAACTGGTTCTTATTTTTTAAGAGATATACGCTTGTGTTAAATCAAAAAGTTTTAATTTATTATTTGTGGTATTTATTAATAAAATGTGTCTGGTTGGTTTTCATGTAGACTCATATAGACTTTTTCAACGTGGTCTTATTAGAATTACTATACAGTGATTTTCTGATTAGAATTAAGGTGACAATTCTTATTAGGATAATGTTTTATAATTTAATTTCTAATATGATTTTATATTTAAAAGAGTTTCGAATTTACTGTGATTTAAAGTAAATTTGTCTGCAATATTTTCTTTTAGCTTTATAGGAAACTTTTTTTATTTAAAAAATTGTTCAAATTGTTTTTAATTTCTTCTTCGTTTATCTACATAAGTTTATGCAGCTAAGCTGCCTCCTCGTTCTTGGACTAAGCAGTCATCTTCTGCATTTATACTATTTAGTTAAGAAAGTCCTTACATATGGCTTAGTAGTCATTATTAGTTTGTAGTTTAGTATAAAAATTGTTAAAAAAACCTTACAAATAAATCCTCATTAAATTATTTAAAATATAAATATAAAAGTAAAGACTCGGGTAACATTAGTTTTAAAATACACATATTAGTGGTATTTTCTAATATAAATTAATATTTATTTATTTATTTGTAAGTTAACTTTAAAATTAATGTTAAAGTTAACTAAGAATAAGGAACTGGACTGTTAGGTCATTCGTCCTATAAATTAACCCATTAAGTACAAGGCAATGTTAGACTTGAAATTTTACGGTGAATTTTCTATAGTAAATAGTAAAATAAAACAAGTTTAAGTAAATGAGAAATGTTTAAAATTTATTTAAAATATTACTCTCACTTTCTTTTTACCTCAAAAATATAAAATATTCTTTGAACATTAAAAATATTCGCAAGTATGGCAAAAAACAGCAATTTGCTGGCCTATGCTAGCCTGTATTGGCCGAAATGTATACAAAACAACAACACTATGTTCTCTATCTCGGCCAGTACAGGTATACTATCACACACATCGGCCAGTAAAAAAAAGTGTTATCAACGCAATAAGCGAACAATTCCTCTTAATTTTGTGTTAATTTTAATTTTCAATCTAATTTAATTATTTATTTTTATACAAAATGTAATTTGCTTGCATTCTGCTATTTTTGCTAATTGTCAAGACATAACCCTTGACATATTACAATAGTGATACCAAGGGCTCACGTGGCCAATATAGGCCAGCATGTATTTTTTTCCATACTTGCGAGCCTTCAAAAAGGCCTAATATAATTTTTTATCTAGATATGAATTTATAACTTTAAATAATTAGCGCTTATAAGTATGCTATAAAAATTTGTCGTAATCATTCGGGTTGGGGAAAAATAATTTTTTTTGTTAAGCGCATCTTACACAGTCAAACTGAATGAATGATTTAATAATTTTTAATAAAAATGCTTTTGTTTATACATGTATATCGATTAACCGCTTAATACAATATCAAAATATTTTAATATTTCAACGTTAAGCTCAGTAAGGCAGTTTACTAAAGCTTAATAAAAACAACCAAAATTCTAAAAAGGTAAACTTCTAAAAATTAGGCGCGAGTTAGGTTAGAGTAGATATGATGCGCATATCATCCATACCTTTTCCACAATTATGATCCTGATTATTTAAGAATAAAACAGACATTCTTTTACCTAAAAGATCAAAATGTGTGCGAGAAAACTCAGAAATTTAAACTTTCTACAAAGAATCTTGCGCCCTTGGTGGTCCTAGAAATATCCAATAACGATCTGTGGGTTAGAATGAGTAAAATTAGAGCAACACAAGAAAATCTTGAAAAATAAATGGTTTTCATTTGCAACAGAATAATAAAAAATTCTAATCTTCTTAACAGATAAGCTTCTAAAAAATATGCACAGCAAGCTCAATAGAGATGTGATGTGCTTTCCTTATCCTCTTCACAATTATGATAGTGCATATTAAAGAACCTGTATCGTAGTTGCAAATATACCTTCAAGCTTAATTTTGTACTGATTAGTGTTATGAGACAACTCAGGAACTCATATCGATCTGTAGGCTAAACTAGAGCAACAGAAAAAATCTAAAAAAGTAAATGAGCCTGTATAGTACACATTTTTAGAAGACCAAACAGCAATGTTGCTTGACATACACTAAGATAGAATCCATATCGAGAAACCATGCGAATTGGAACATGCAAATTATTTATAAAACCACACCGTTAAGTATTTTTATAATTTAGTTCGAATTAAATTGAGACCAGAGGCTCTATGCTCCACCTAGAAGACAGAATCACAGAATCACAAATTTAGAAAAGCAAATGAGGCTATATAGTACACAGTCTTAGAAGATCAAGCAAAAATATTGCTTGGCATACATAGAGGAAAAACTCATATGGTTCTAGGCAGTCAAGTGAGTTGACTATAACTTAGAGGAAAACAGCGAATTGAAACATGGAAATTTTTTTAAAAACGATACTGTCAGCTATTCCCATAACTTAGTTCGAATAAAATTGAATGCTGTATGCTCCGTCTATGAATATAGAATCACGTTCATAAAACAGTTTATAGTATACTAGAATTATTCTAGGTATAGTGCCCGTAAATTGTCACTTTAACCCGGACTTTGAACCGTCTGAACACCACTTATTTAGGTATCTGCAAAACTCAGTCGGTAAAAGATTGTCTCATTGAAGACACACTGAAAATAGTAACTTCTATAAGCAAGCCATAAAAGTTTTACACCGATGGAATTATGAAGTTACCAGAAAAATGGCTAAAGGTTATAAATAATAATGCCCGAAAAGTCGTCGATACTTTTAATATCATCCAAAATTTCTGGCTGATAAACATAGTTGGAGTACTAGAAATAATTCATCGAGTAGTTAATACACTTTTAACCTACTTCTATTCAGCACTTAAAAGATATTAAATTTTTTTTTAAATATTTTTATATCTTAAGAAGATTATTCTTACATCATATAAATAAAATAAAATAAGATAAATCTCATAAGCATTAGTTAGAAATAAGTCACGAATAACATTTAATAGTAATTATATTTCATCACAATTCAATTGTTCCTACATTCATAGTGCCACATTAAATGCGCCGGAGTAGTTTTTCAACCTCAGTCTACGTAATCCTTGCCTTATCTTCCTCTGTGTGGCCTCAATTAAATCCAAATGTGCTTTTTTGTTTACCCAAGAGTGGAAAAGTGTGTACTGGCTGTGCTCTGTTTAATGTTTGCTTGTGCTGAATAAATATGTATGTTTTATCAGTGAAGTGACAACGTGGTTGATAAAACAGTTAATATAACAACGAAAATCAACAGAGGCGATAAGAGAAGAGTTACTGTTTCGATGCATTAAGACGGAGGCGATTCGCTTCGAAATAGTTTTCATTTGTGCAAAGAAACGAAAGACTTCAATTTGAGTTTGTGCTCGAAATTTTTTTCTACATTTTTTGTGCATTTTTTATTAAAATTCTTTATTTTTATTTTAAATAATTTACGATTTGACACGTGTGTTTATTGGTTTGTTGTGCACATAAAATTGTTTTATTTAAAATTCTCGATTTTTGCTGTTCTTATCAGTGTAACGAATTGCAGTTATTATGTGACTTAAGTGACACGTCAACCGGATTGACATTTCGGCGAAATAATTTGTCATGAAAAACTTCAATCAAACTACGATAAACAAAGCTTTTTGTGAGGTGTAAAAAAAAAATGTCAGTACTATAATATATACAAGGTAAAGGTTATAAGGAAATAATTAAACGACACACAGTAGTCGCTCCCTTTAATTATATTTTTCATCATTTTATACTTTAAAAAATATCAAAAATGTTCTGCTTTCTGACTGCGTCATATGCTTATGACATTATATGAGATATTCCAGCTTACCGTTTAGTAAGAGTCGTCCCCTCTTATCTTATCAGAGTAAACAATTTCATTACTGTTTATGCTACATTAATCTATTACATTTGTTGATTTTTTAATTAAAATTTTATAGTATTTAGTAATAATAATTCTGTTTTCAGTTCTCTTTCTTCTTTTAAACATGCTTTATTGCTGTTTACTGTATTCTAATTTATATAATATTATACAATACAAACAGAATGGTATTGAAATGTAATAATTACAAAAAAAGTATGATTAATTAAATCAAATATTCTACAGCTGGTTTATGATTTCGTTTTAATATAAACACACCAAGTGAATTTGTTAAAACTTTCACAACAAATTAATAAAACTTCAGAAAAATGTGCGAACATAAAAGTCAAGTACGGCTTTGGGTCAGTTGGCTAAGGTGTGCTTACTCTGAGTTTCAAATTTGGCAGGGCAGAGTACGATTCCTGGTTTTTGCAGTCTCAAAAAATTAATTACAAATAATTAAATACAAGAATTATTTCCAAGACCACTGATGAAGGGTGTTTGGCAATACTCGAAATTGCTGTATGGTCAGCCAAAAATACAATTAATTAAAATAATATAAAATAAATAATTGTTGTTGTAGTACACTACTGTTCGAAAAATCTCTTTATAAAATATTTCATTTAATTTGTAGCAAATAATAGAAATTTTGTTAAATAATTTTATTCCAATTTGATTTTGCTTTGTTTACTTAGTTAGCTTTTAAAAAGTGTGGTAAAATTAAGCAATTGCTTTATCGTGTAATGAATGTTAATATTAGATGAGATCTAATTATTAGAGAAGTTGTGGAAAGCTATAGTGAAAAGAATTAGCTGTGTCTTCATCGATTAGCTAAAATTATTTATAGACTTGATGCCCATGTAATTTGTTCGTTTA